AAGTCTTCAAGCTTCATAAATCACACCCCAAGGGGGGGAGCTCTCAAACACTTCTCTAGAGCTCCCTTCCCTTCTCTCCCTAAATTCTCTTAGTTTCCTTTCAAGTTGTCAATTGTTGTAGCAAAATGATTTTACTAAATTTTCCTTCAAGTTTTCTTAGTTCCACTTTACTTTTATTTGTAATGTACATTCTTTCTTAAGTATTCAAGTTTAATTAGTTTCCAAGTTTCAATTATGGTTTTTGTTCTTATTTATTATGCTTATAAGTTAATATGCTAGTTTGAATGGTTGATCACCATTTAGGCTTGCATGTTAGCTATCTTGGTTTGAATTAAGAGTAGACACCATGCTTTAATTCGAATTGAACTATGAATAAGAAGAGTATGTATGGACATTCGACAACAGGGATTAGATACATGCTTGATTATTTAAATTGTTCTTCTATGCTTAATGGGTCCCTAATGCTTAATTTTAGGTTAGACAACAAATGATCAAATTAGGGAATTAGGAACACAAGGTTATGACCAAACACCATGGCTTAATCATACTTTAGCTAGAATCAATCCGTTAATCTAATTGAACTTGGGAACTTATTTGCTTGAGTTATTTCCTTTTTTTCTTGTTTTATTTATTTTCTTTTTCATTTCTGTTTTGTGTAGGGGAAATGAATTGGATCATTCAATCACCAATCCTCGTGGGATCGACCTCGCACTTACATATGCTGTGCTACCAAACGGCTCGTGCACTTGCGAGTATCACAAGTTGAGAATGCAGCTGAATCCATTTTGGTGCAGCTGAATCGAAGCAACAGATTCCCGTCGTCTATTTCAATTTCTGTAGTAGTGATTTAATATCTTGACCATCATGATTTCTCTGTTTTTTTGACTCGTATACCAATTTGTCTGTCATGATTTCTTGACCAACGTTTTTTATTATACAACAGACAATTGTTCATTTATTTTCTTAGTTTTTTTATTTGTTTCTTCTTTGAGAAATATTATTCTATGGTTTTTATGATTCTTATTATTATTGTTTTCACTATAATCGTATCATGAAGATGGATTACATGGCCCAAGAATTAGATGGTCATTCTGAAGGGGTTGGGCAATATAGATTAAATTCATATTATGATTCGTGTGACAAAATCTACATACCACAACTAAGAGATGACCACAAGCCAAAATCAGGCCAAGGATTTGAGTCATTAGATGATGCTCATGAGTTCTACAATAATTATGCCAAGGAAGTTGGTTTCAGTGTCAGAATCAATTCTAGTAGGAAGAATAAAGAAACTAATGAAATCCTACGAAAGGAGTATGTGTGTTCTAAAGAAGGAGTGCCCGCTAAAGGAGTTGGTGAGAAAAAAAGGCGTAGAGGTATTACTCGAGAAGGTCTTAAGGCAAAGCTAGCTGTGGTGAAGTCGAAATCGGGAACCTATGTAGTCAGCCTATTTGTGGAGGGTCACAACCACCCATTAAAAAGTCCTAAAAGAGTACACTTGTTAAGGTCTCATCGTACAGTTTCAAATTCTCATAAGTGTATAACCCAACTATTTTCAGCAGCAAATATACCTACACATCAACAATTTAGCCTTCTTGAAATGCAAGTTGGGGAGATAGAAAATGTTGGATGTCTAGAGAAGAATATTTACAATAATGAAAGGAATTTGTGTAATGGGTTGAAGGGACATGATGCAGATATGTTGTATGAGCATTTCCAGCTAGAGCACAAAAAGAATCCGTCCTTCACTTTTAAGATTGAGGCTGATGAAGAAGATAGAATTACTCCTTGTTTTTGGGCTGACACAAAATCTAGGAAGGCATACACGTTTTTTGGCGATGTGGTTCTATTTGATAGTACTTATAACACTAATTGATATGGTATGATATGTGCACCATTTGTAGGGGTCAATAATCATGGTCAAACAACAGTGTTTGCTTGTTCATTCCTAAGTGATGAGACAACTAATTCTTTTCTTTGGCTATTTGAGCAATTTAAGAAAGCCATGCCTGGAGGTTCCCCTAAAATGATTATTACTGATTAAGATCCAGCAATGACAAAAGCCATTGGACAAGCTTTTCCAAATATAACTCACAGGTATTGCAGTTGGCACATATTAGATAAATTCTCAGAAAGGTTAGGTGGGGTTAAATATAGAGATTATTTTGAAGATTTTAGAAAATGCATATGGGAATCAAAAAGCACAGAAGAGTTTGACTCA